CCCATAAAAAAAACATATAGTTACGATGGGTCGTAACGCGACGAACGCTTCGTGGATCGGGGTCCAGAATCTCTGCGCTTGCCATTGTACGCAGCAGATGTAATTCAAATTTAACATATCGTTTTTAGCTCCAACAAATCAAGATTCGGTCAAGATTGTGAACCGGCTGCCGTCGTACTAAAGTTGCACTTATAATTAAGTCTTTATGCAAATTGTGTCAGGGGTGGGTTCTACAGGTAGAGCAGGGCATGCACACTCTTTTCGCCATTCATATACTTATCACTATTTTGGCTTTTACGTCCAGTGGAATCTGTTTCCGCAGATAATTGAGACTGATTATTATAATCTGGCTTTGATGTTTTATACTTTTTCCCGATCGCCTCCGTGGTCTAATGGTAGAGCATCCGCCCGGAGAGCGGAAGGTCCGGGGTTCGATCCCCGGCCGCGTCATACCATAAGACGTTAAAAGATGGAACTTGTTGTTACGCTGTCTGGCGCTCGGTATTAAGGGGCATTAAACAAGGACTGGTCGGCTCGGAGTCAGTATACTGTGTCTGAGTGGGGTATTCATGTTAAACTGCGGCATGGTATCTCAGTGAGCTAGCACTATAAATCGGCATCAGTCCGGACTAGTACAAGCAGCCACACACACACACACATACACATGCATGCCTGTGACTATATAAGTGCAATAATCTTGGACGCGACGTTAAACCCCATTTCACCTCACCTCACCTCACCCATACTTTTTCCCATAACTGAATACTGAGCTAAGCGGCGTAAAATCTCAGTCAGCATGGGTGTTTCGCGGTCAAACGTGTTGTCAGTGAAGGAGAAAATTCGCCTCCGAAGTTTCTGTTGAAAATGTAAAAGGGAGGGAATAGCATGAGGACCAAAGACCCAAGGGCTATTCCGACCCCGATGTTTTAAATTTTAAATCAAAACCGCGGAGAAGTGTCTTCTCTGACGTATATATCGTCAAAACAATATTTATTCATATTTGTTTAATATTATGTATAAAGGAGCGTTACGACAGTCTAATGAAACACTCGTAAAATATATATTCCCAAGAAATAACGCTTAACATTGAACCTTTCCCATGAACCACCCATTTTCAACCAGTCCTGAGGTCTAATGGTTAGCGTGCCTGATTATTGATTAAGCGGTTTGGGGTTCAATTCCGGTCATCCATTTTGAAAGAGTTAAATTCTTGTTTTCGATTTTAGAGCATTGAACTTTTGAAAAAGAAAGTCCAATGTTGGACGCACATGGAAAACCTCATGACAGGGATGAGGTCGTAATAGCGAAAAGTAACATTTCATCCCACGTTTTACTGCCTGGAGAAAGAATAGTTAAGTTCAAAGGCAAGGTCCAGCATAGATGTTTAGAACTGGATGGTTGGTTGGTTGGTTTGTTAGGGTTGTTTAACGCCGCCCTCAGCAATATTTCATCTATATGACGGCGGTTTGTAAATAATCGAGTCTGGATCAGACAATCCATTGATTAATATCATGAGTATCGATCCACCACTTGGGATCGATGACATGCATCAACCAAGTCAGCGACTCTGACCACCTGATTCCGTTAGTCGCCTCTTATGTCAAGCATGGTCGCCTTTTACGGCAAGCATATGTTGCTGAAGACCTATTCTACCCCGGATCTTCACGGACCTTTACACATAACAGATTCAACACAGGATCTTTAATATATGTTGCATGCCAAGGAATTTATTGACACATAGTATATGCAGTGTTATGGTAGGCCCTTGACACATACGCTGTATTCAAGAGAGCGTCAGTGGCTCTACTGAATGTTATGAGCTCACTGAACAGTCTGAAGGAAAACAACTTTTGATGTGACATTAGGGGGCACGGGTGGCCAAGTCGTCTAAGGCGCCGCGATTCGCTGTGCAGGGGTTGCGTCCCTTGGGCACGCCAGAAACCTATGATAGTGGGTTCGAATCCCGGTTATGTTTCTAGGTTTGTCAGCACCATACCCGTGCTCGTGGGTTTCACCGAAGTGGTAAACGTCTTAGACCTGCATCACTTCGGGCTTTCCATCCACATTAAGCTGACACGCCGCGATATAACTGTAATACTGTTAAAAGCGGCGTTAAGCCCAACTCACTCACTCACTGATGTGACATTAACCTATAGTTACTCATCCTATTGTTTTCACGGGGACTTTTCGACGTATAGCCTCTTATTGGTCACTGTCGACAGAATATGTCTCAGTCCCTGAAATATTCTATAGAGCACCTGTAAAGTGATTTGATACGTTTGGAATGTCCCAAGTTAGAATAATGATTTATTTTGCTAAAAAGTAAAGTTGGTTGTGTTCATTGTAATATCTGCATTCTCATTAGCTGAATTGGTCACGTGTTATTTCATTCATTGCCAATGAATGTAAACAATTAAGCCACGCCCAACGCCCTACTTTTATTGCCACGGAAAGTCGGGGAATCCATATTACAGTCGAGGGAATTCCCTTTCTGCTCACGTGTATCGTCATGCGCAGGACACTTAACGAAATTCATGCATATTCATTTACCCTGTCACACCGAAGGCCGAGAAGGAATAAAACAGCAGGCTCGCTCGCCTGTTTTTCCCCGGTTTGCCAGGGTTCCACAAAGTTCATGTCTTCGGACTTCATTTCTGACCCGCATTTTTTCCAACTATGTCTGCTATTCTATTCTCAGGGAATTAATGCTTGAATCTAGCGGTAACTGAATATGTAATTGGAAACAGCCGCCTTCTCCCGGACATAGTTGTTCCAGTTCGTTTCAGTTTGACTTTTGCATTGTCAAGTTATTGCAGAAATTAAACAATCACCTGATTCATGTCACGCCACAGTATGCATTCCTACACCTGGAATGTTTATCAATCTCGTCATATTTGTCTGCTTTGGAAAATGCAACTATTGTTGAAAACACATATTTTCGTTGTCGAATTTAATAAGAAGGATTGACTGTATTTTTTCGGTTCATGGTATGAACCATCATCATTAATTGAACACGATCTATGAATATGTATAATTGCAATGCTCACTTGAAAAAAACATCCTGAAAGATGATAAATTAAACACCATATTTCAGTGGGATCGAACCTACAACATTCGTACGTGTAATTAGCAGCAATTTTATGTTTCAACACACTGTTCATGAACCTATGGCAACGGACGTAATACATATCTTCCTGGCATACATGTACTTGAAGACCGCCTCCGTGGTAGAGCGTCCGCCCGGAGAGCGGAAGGTCCAGGGTTCGATCCCGGGCCGCGTCATACAAAAAGACGTTAAAGATTGTACTTGTTGTTACCCTGTCTGGCGCTCGGCATTCAGGGGCTAAAACAAGGACTGGTCGGCTCGGAATCAGTATACTGTGTCTGAGTGGGGCATTCATGTTAAACTGCGGCATGGTATCTCAATGAGCTAGCACTATAAATCGGCATCAGTCCGGACTAGTACAAGCAGCCACACACACACATACACGTGCATGCACGTCGCTATATAAGTGCAATAATCTTGGACGCGACGTTAAACCCAATTTCACCTCACCTCACCCTTCTTGAGAACTTCGACATTCAATGTCAACCATCTCATCTTGAGAACTTCGACATTCAATGTCACCCTTCTGTCATCCTGCCTCAATCTACACTTGACACGCGTGAGTGTGCAGATAAAGTGATGAGATATTCATATCTGCTATGTTAGACAAATAGCAAACATTAATACATGAAATGAAATAGTCGTTTTAGTTTTCCTTGGCAGCGCGGCGATGTTCGTGAACGCTGACACCGTTAACCTAGTATCATTACGTGAGTGACACAAAAAGGCTAGTGTACGGACACCGTCACATGGAAGTCCCTCCGCTCTTTGAAACCAGTGAGAGAACACGACCTGTGAACATAGTGAAATGCTTGAAGATGAACTGAAATAATTACTACAGTAAACTACGGTTATAACGAACTGACGGATATAACGAACTTACTTTTTTAGTCCCGACTATTTGCTGTAGTTATGCTGTATATTTGCTTATAACGAACTACGGTTATAACGAACTAAAATAAGTAGTCCCTATGAGTTCGTTATAACCGTAGTTTACTGTATATAGCATATATTGCTTAATTAGTGAAACAAAAGCTCCATCTTTTTATTCCAATCGTACAACCTATCTACACTTAATACCGTTTGACTGGCTTCCTCATAGTGTGTTCTCTGTCAACCATGTTACAATATTATCCTTTTGTTGTTAACCCTACCATGTTAATCATGCACATAAATTGTTGTTATTTTCATCCTACACCAACTATACATAATTCTGCACCATGCTCCCACTATCAAGTCTTGCTTGACGACTGTGTAGGATAAGTTCCGAAAAGTCGCTATAATAGTGCAATAACGGTAAGGAGCAGGAAGCAGCTCTGAAATGTCGTCTCAAAGAATAAAAGAAGTTATTATCCATAAAAAGTGTTATGTGATTATGCTCTTCCACCTCCAAAACCCTGTCAAAGACGATAAAAATGTTGCTTTCCATAACGTCTGTCTACATTGTCATTTGTCACCTTCTAAAAGAGTCAATCAAACAATTGATTTGAGCATCTTCTGTCAACATTAAGTCAATATTAACAAAGTTTCACTGTACCGAACGCTTTACTCAAACTGATTATTCAAACTGCAGGGTAGATGTGTCTACTTACACACTGATGGATGGGATGGTGTAGATGATTAACGCAGCAAGAGTGCAGTATCTGTGATTATAAAACAGTTATATGTAAATAAAATGTAGAAATATGTCGTGACTCAGTCCTCCCGTTGGTCAGGTCGAGCGGGAGCAGCTGACGTCACGAAGTCTCCCGTGGAGAGGAATCACCATGCATTGGCCTCTTTGTACTGGACACACAATGTCTTCAAGGGAGATGCCATCTGCTGATTGCGTAGCAATAGGTACTAAGTGTGATACACACTGTCCTATAAATGCTGGTACTATTGTCAGTGAAACAGTTGTGCAGAGAGTTGCGAGAGTGGCACAGGCTGATCAAACATGAAGGTAGGTACTTGGGATTGGGTGATTCTTTAAACATGAACATTTGAATAGTGTTTTACTGTACTAGTCCGGACTAATGCCGAGCTTATAGTGCTAGCCACTGAGTACTCATTCCGAGCCGACCAGTCCTTGTTTTCGCCTCTCAATGCTGAGAGCCAGGCAGGTAACAATAAGTACCAACTTTTAACGTCTTTTGGTAGAACGCGGCCGGGGATCGAACCCCCGACCTTCCGCTTACCGGGAAGATGCTCTACCACTAGATCACGGAGACGGTCTCAAGTATAAAAGTAAAGTGCAATTAAAGCATACAGGTAGTGCCAGAAAGCTGCTGTTGCGAATGCATTCATTTGTCAATGATGGTATGAAGACAATTTAGATGATTCAAAGGAGGTATTATTATTCCTTATTAAGGTGAGGCGAGGTGGCATGAAATGGGATGTATCGTCGAATTCAAGATTATTATTATATTGCGACGTGCATACATACATACATATAAATATATATATATATATATATGTGTGTGTGTGTGTGTGTGTGTGTGTGTGTGTGTGCGCGCGCGTGCGTGCGTGCGTGCGTACGTGCGTGTGTGTGTGTGTGTGTGTGTGTGTGTGTGTGTGTCTGCTTGTACTGGTCCGGACTAATGACAGTTTTATAGTGCAAGCCAACAGAGATACAATGCCAAATTTTAACATGAGGGAAACCACTCTTAGACACAGAATACTGATTCCGAGCCGACTAGTCCTTATCATATCCTCTTAATCCCGAGCGCCAGACAGGGAAACAACAAGTACTATCTTTTAACGTCTTTTGAAATGACGCTTCCGGGAATCGAACCCAGGACCTTTCGCTCTCCAGGCAGACGTACTATCTACTAGGCACGGAGACAATCCCAAATATGGAACCATACAAAAATGGTACCGCCCAATAGCATCATATGAAGGAGTTAGTGTTATAATTAATACCTTTCCATTGGGATTTCATTTCATTTGTAACATATATAGGCTTGTTAACACTGCTTCACCATTAAGTATATTATCATAAACAGACCCCGTTTATTTCCAGGTGGCGTTCTTGTGTTTGTCGTTGGTGACGCTGTGGGCGATGTCTGTGAGTGAAGACGCTGCCAAGGCGACTGTGGTCGAGCCCCAGCAGATCGGCGCCATTGTAGCCTATGACGTTCCCAGTAACCAAGTTATCTATCGCCCACCTACTACATTCTACAAACCAGGGATCTCCGACCTGAAGAGCGTCGGTGGGGTGAAAGGTCTACTGAGTCTCGGCCTCCACACGGGTCAATATAGACCCCCTGGCACCGGGCACCGTTACAGAGAGTACCTTCCTGCAACGCACGGTCGGAACCAATATGGTCAAGATCTGGCCAATCAGAATCCTTATGACCAGAATCAATTTGATCAGCGACCTTACTTCTCGCGCGGCCCAATACCCTACAGCTCCGGGCAGAGGTACCACAGAGCCATGGGGAACTCCTTCAGCAGGAACCCGACTTCTGTGGGAGGTACCCTTTTTCCTCAACGTCCTCTGAACAACTACAACCCCAGCTACGTTCTCTACAAGCCAGGCGTGAAGGATCTGAAGAGATATGGAGGCATCGAAGGCCTTCTTCGTCTCGGGCTACCCTCTATCTTGCGCAATCACTGAAATTGTTCAAATACAGTGCATCTAATATAAAGCAGGCGCAACTAACTCGAAAAAATCGAACGATTTTTTTGTCTGTCATGTGGAAAAGCTATTGAGGCGTTTGTGTAACTACATTGAGCATGTTTGGTCAATAAATTATAAGCATTCAATGTATGTTTTTTTGTTTTTAATAAGGGCTTGGCCCTAGGTGCTTAAGGGGTGAAAAAAATCTGAAGTCTATGATGTCGATATGTCTGTGCGTCACCAGCAACATCTCCTAAGAAACATACATGGCTAATGTCCAACTACTATAAAAACGCCACTGAAAACCTCTAAAATCAACCATTTCGACATATACCAGATTTCTACATATATTAGATTTCGACACAAACTATCACATATGCATGTCGAAGAAGTAACTCGTATCAGATGTTATTCCGTCGTTCCTTTCTGTAACGTTACAGTTTACATGCGAAAGCGGAACGTTGCTTTCTTTTTAGAAAAAATTAAAACCGGCCACGACGACATAATGCTTATTCCAAGAAGCATATTTATTACTCGTCAAAAGTTCTTGCTAACTGAATAACTGATCACCGTTCGTAGAAACCCATACAAGTCGGCTGTTTGTCTGTACGGTCGAGATGACGTTATTTTCTTTGTGAGACATTTTGAAGTTGTTCCAAGTATGTATATGATATATGGATGAGTAACGTTTTTATTAGAATTAGGACTAACGTTTCGGTGTAGGTTTTAATTTGCTTGATAACGGTGTTTGAACCTACATCGAAACGTCGCTCCTAATTGTCATAAAGAAGTTGTACATCCATATATATTATCCTAAATCATGACGTTACTTGACGCGTCACAAATTAGTCACCATGGTGGACACAATATAGAATGATATAAATGTGGGATAAGTCTTTGTTATTTGTGAACTCGAAGTAAATGGGGTTGTACACTACATACATGAGACCCGCGGCATTGATGCGGCATTGCATTTCTATCTTTTACTTATGAAATCCTACAAAAGACACTGTCGAGGTAAGTTTGTCGCATTGTCGCACAAAATCTAGTGAAAAGGACAAAATTTACCAAGGCGAATTGTTTTGAATATTATCTTTGTTTTTTTTACCAACGACGGAGAACGCGACAACGCACTGGTGGCCAATAGAAACTTTACCACTTTAAAGAAATGAAAGTGTAAAAATGTAAAAACACAAGTTCAAACTAAATCAATGCAATAAACATAGTCCAAACACAACAATGCTCTATGTAGAAAGTGATACACGTCCACGGCACATATTTGTAGAGAATGCTAAAAAGTAAAAAAAACACGTGCCGCTTAGGCAGCCGAAACTACGTGTACAATAAGGGTATATAAATGAAACTGACGGCATGTCAGCCACTCACACTGATAAAGAGATCACAGAAATGCCAAGACTGACACCCAAAAATGCGAGCAGGCTCTGGGTAGGATGCAGATGGGAACCACCCATGCCATACCAACTTTGCCAGAAGTTTTGTTTGCTCCTGTGTTGCTGTAACTAACGCGATGCTACGTTACAGACAGACCATGCAGACATCAGGCTGCCAATGACTCAGGGTAACTACGCCCAATGAAGACCGGTACTTGCGTAATTTGCAAATCGATTTCTGACAGTGACGTCATCAGCGACGAATGCCTTAGGGCATATGGTTGTCCTACCATTGCTTCAACAGCTGCCAGGGGTATTCTTTATAAGCATGACAACGCCAGACCCCAAACAGCCCGAATCGTAGAGAATTTCCTTTCAGCCAACAACGTCAACGTGTTTCCGTGGCCTGCACGCTCGCCAGACATGTCCCCCACAGAACACTCTGGGATGTCATGGATGCCAACCGACAAGAACTGATCAAGGCCCTCCAAGATGAATGACGACATTTCACACGTGAGGTCATCAGACGACTGACTTTTCTGTGCGCCGGAGAGTTTTTGAGTCTCTTGTAGCAGGGGGTGGTCATGTACGCTATGAATGTGTCATGGAACTTGAGCGATTTTTATGTGTGTTTGTTTTCCCTTTGGCCATTACCCCATCTCATTTCGGGCAACTGTCATGTCAATATCGGATGCTGTATGACTGTCATTGTAGATGTTGAGTTTGGTGAGATTTTGATCTTGAAAAGCATTTTACTTCATGCATCTGTCTTTTGTGGTTTTTATACCAGAATGGTTTAAAACAATGATACAATTTCATTTGGCCATCAGTTTAAGTGTCGAATTGTAGTTTTTATTGCATTTTGATTAATATTTTGTTCTCTTCTGAATGGGGACAATTTAACGTGACGTTTAGGTCAAGATATGTATAAAATGGGTTAAAAACCGTTTAAGTGTAAACAATGCGACAGTTGGTTGGTTTTGTCCCTTTTTGCTCCGTTGGTTTTGTGAAGGCGACAGTAGGCCAACACGGCAATGTTCCTTCCAGCATTCCACTGTGGTTAATATGAATTTGGTTTAACGCCGCTTGAACAGTATTCCAGTAATATTAGGGCATGTCAACTTAATGTGTGAGGAAAGCCCGAAAAGATACAAGTCTCCTATGTTTACCACTTTGGTGTCGTGTAAATAAGTCCGAAGTTATGCAGGGACGTATATTAAAGACGTTCAGGTTCAAATTGATCTTTAAAGGAGATATAAGTATACCTAATTTCAAAAAGTTCATTTAAGAGCTTGTCCCTTTGGACTCCCCTCTTTCATGAGTGAGTGAGTGAGTGAGGTTTAACACCGCTTCAATCATTGTATCAGTAATATCGCAGAGTGTCATTTAATATGTGATGTAAGCCCGAAGCAATGCACGTCTTACACGTTAAAATGTATCTCAACGAACAAACATTATCAAGGCGAATTAACGATTTGAATCTACGACCCTGCATGTACGTGCCAGCACACATAACGAACGCAACTCTGTACAGTAATCAGGGTGCTTTAGACCACATGGCCACCCGTGTCCCCTCATCTTTTATTAAAGGGGAAGTGTACACACAAAAATCACTTTCTATCTTTTTCTAAACAAAACGCAATTTTAGAATTAGTTAGTATCTGTGTTTGAAAATATACACTCATTTTTTTCACAGTGAAAGTAGGAAGCTCACAATAGTGTGAAAATGATATGCCGTTATGAGGCCTTCGCTTTTCGAGCTAAACAGGCCTGAGTTATCCCCCTTAGATTATGACGTAATTGGTGCCAATTCAACTGGGTCCCTGTCTATTCTCAACGCAAAAGATATCAAGTACCAGTTTGTGGTAAAACAACATGGCCTACGACACACTCCGGCGCAGTGGTGACTCAGCATAACACTATGCTGGCTGGCATCTGAGACGCTACAATCACACACCTGTACCTACACCACGTGAAGCGGCTCTAACAAAGCATGATGACGTCATAATGTTTATCAATTGGCACCAATGACGTCATATTGTAAGGGGCATAAGCCATAGTGGTTTTGTTATGGAAATAGAACACTTGGTAAATGTGAAAAATATAAATCATTTTAATGCAAAAAATATGTCAATTATTAGTGATATTTTTATATTTTTGTCTATGACACTTCTAGGTTAACACTTTTAATGTGGAAAAAGTACAAGAAAAATAGGTTCATTTCCGTGTGAACTTGCCCTTTAACCAGGACTGAATATTGTTCATGTATTTAACATGATGACTCTTACTGAATGTGACCACAGAGTTTTTCAAGCAAGTGACATTTGGTGCGGAACTTGGGTGCTTAGCTTCATGTACTCGGAAAAGAAGCTGGCTAATCTAGTCTTAGTTTTTGTTTTTATTGCAGCTTTGAGGCCAAACTGTGCACACATGCACATGTAATAACTGTTGAATGCTTAGTTACATTTTTTTTATAAAGTGACTATAGTAGCCTATTGGAAAATATTTGGTTGTGTGTAACCTGAAGCCTGAGCAACAACTCGTTGTGATTGTACTCCTGTACAAGCTGCACTATCAGGGTAAACCATATGCTGATAGGCCTCATTGTAGAGACACAATGGAGGTCAAATAAACCCAAATACCGAACCCTACTTTATTGTCCCATTGTTATATTCTTGTTATAGACATAGTGGAACGGGGGTGAGGGGTGTGAAGGGTGTGTACTTTGGCAGTAAAGATACAATATATTTGAATAAAGACAGTATCCATTGTTTATTAGTTAATATGCTTCGAAGTAATTTTGGGAGGGGAGGTAACTCTGGTCAGTTAACGCTCCTGCGCAGTGATGACTTGGCATTTCATCATGTATTTCTGAAAATACTGGTAGAATTAGATGCGACAGAGTGAGGATTTTTTCTAAATGTATTTTCGCTTATAGGTGTATCATTTCCGTTTTGATCAAAGTGACAAGGTTTAAGGACAGTTTCATTAACACATTTATAGCGATTACCATCGCAACAACCTTGCTATTCACACATGCTGTCTATAGATACATTATGTTGTTTGTTTAAAGCCAAACATTTTATGTAAGTAACGGTAATATGTAGCTCAGATCATATACGTTTATTGTCTGATCATAGGTGTTTGGACGTCAAACGTTTTCGGATGGCCATGTTTATCGCGATGACTCGCGCTATAACGAAGGGTGTAGCATCGCACAGAAATTGTAAATACTCAGATGAAGTCTTAGGTTATCTTTTATCAGCAAATGAGATGTTTTACAGTTGTTCATGTGATTTGAGAGAAAGCTACGACTGTTTCTTAAGCGTCCGGAAACCCATAACACGGAGATAAAAGAATTTGAAGAGAACAACGTATATACTGTAAACCTCCTTTAAAAGACTTTAATCCACACAAGTGAATGTCTGAGTTGTTTGGATCTGAATCTTTCTTTACTTTTTTTCGAGTATATATTCTTTTATAAGTAGAATTAGGTCTTCGGTTGTTTCCATCTTATCTGGACCGCCTCCGTGGTCCAGTGGTAGAGCGTCCGCCCGGAGAGCGGAAGGTCCGGGGTTCGATCCCCGGCCGCGTCATACAAAAAGACGTTAAAGGATGGTTCTTGTTGTTACCCTGTCTTGCGCTTGGCATTAAGGGGCTAAAACAAGGGCTGGTCGGCTCGGAGTCAGTATACTGTGTCTGAGTTGGGTATTCATGTTAAACTGCGGCATGGTATCTCAGTGAGCTAGCACTAT